TTGGGTACAAATTGGACCTTGTTGGCTTTATACCAGGCTACCGTGTCCTTGGAGTAATGAACCGGCGCCAAATCCGGCAAAACAGTACTGAGGCGTCGTGTTTGCAGATCATGGGTAACAGACGCTCGTTTGAACACTCACGCACGTAAACATCGGATATCATTGTCTCCGTTGTCACAAGCGGTTTGGGAAGCATACCACACTCACAAATGGCTTACCAAACCATAGCCTTTTTAGCGAATTTTTCGGTATCCGACTTATCCGCGTCGTTAACAATTCGGCCATCACGAACGGCGTGATGATAACGGTGATGCCATACACGCTGGGTTTATTGTGAATGAAAGTGTCCTCGGAATGGGTGTGACTTTCCAGGCATTCTGAAATGGTTTGCTGGATCTGCAATAAAGCTATCACCTTCTAACTCCCGGACTGAAGCTGTTGGCAATTACCACAAACTAGAAATTGCAGATGGCTTTCTTCCATAATACCACTGCCCGGCCAGTGGTCGTTAGATTCAATACACACAATTATTCATATCGCGCAATGATTGTAGCCGGGATTGAACCGTAATTACAGCATATCGATCAGAGATTAGATTGTATTTGTGATATAAGAGGCCCGGTAGCTTAGTGGCGACCGATTTTGCTTACTTAGCAGAAGATCACTGCTTCAATCCAAAGTTCCTGTGTATTATAGAGGTGTTAATGTCACGATGCAAACAAACGGATCGTCCGGTGAATTCAGATCTTATTTACCCTTCCTATTAACAAAAAGGGATTAAGGGAGGATAAGCGGCGCCGGTAAAGTAGTGGTAAGCGTGATTACCTCTCACCCCAGCAGGCCTGGGTTCAATCCCAGTGAGGCATAACATCTCTGATCGCGCCTTCTTTCGGAAGAGAACTAAAGCCGTTGGTCCCCGGTTCATGAGTTAATGGGTAAATAGGAAGTGTCCAGGTGTGGGAGCTGCCTCCCTGGCGTCGAACGGAAAACAAATCAATGAAAAAAAATTCCTCCAGTGTGGAGATGCAGAGGTGAATTCGGTCTCTAGTAACAACATTCCTTCCCTTCCTTAATAATCACAACTCGCAAGGATGTAGTCGGTATTATGATTTATTGAATAAAGTAATGTGCCAAAATGTGTTTGTTGTATTAACAAAATCAATTTTTTTTCCAAAAGTTGTTGTTCTATGATTTCTTGCGTAATATTTGAAAAGGTTCAAATCAAAATTAAACAAACCAGAAAATTAATTGTTAATTTTCTCCCCAATATTTTAATTAATAAATAATGAAATTAAAGTATCTTTATATTTTTCAGAATAACAATAGTAACTGTATCTCAGTACACAACAGCCAAAATATGCGAAAATTTTTCATAAATACATGAAAATCGGTAACAATTTAATTTCATTAATTAATAAGCTTTTTTTGTGAATCCTTTCCAAGGTTAGGCCCTTTACAACGTTGTGCTTGTCATCAGAAATTACTAAGCCTTTTCATAACGTCAAATAAAGGAAAAACAAATCATCGGCCCTGTCTCAACCGCGAAGCAGCAGTAGGACCTAGCTTTGATTAGAACAATCATCGGCCCTTCTACGCCACACAACTTATCAAAAGAACCGAATGGAACGAAACAAAATCATGTTGATCGGCCGTTTTGAAAATCAAGTTATTTTGAATGATTTTTATTGATGATGCGGAACATTCCTATACGATTGGTAGCGGTGCTATTTTGGACATAGGCCCTTTTCAAATGGAACGCGAATTTTTTTTCGTCTATTTTTAAGTGTCCAATTTGAACTTTTTAATAAAAAATTCGAAAAATATTAAAGAAGGTCATTTGATTATTTAAGTTTTAAATACTTCTTTAGATTTTATTTCCTAAAATCACTTGAACTTATTTACCATGCATACATTTATTTTCTGAAAAGGAATTATTTGTTCTCACAACTTTGTCTCCGACGTCATTCAGATTGGAAGCGAAGTCTTCGAGCTATCATTAGTTGAAAAAAATCTACGTCTATGATTACTATATGGGGGTACACTTTGTGAAAACCGAAAATGAAACATGTAACAAAATTAGGAAAGATTTTGAACGTTAATAACTCAGCTGCCCCTGGACCAATTTCAATAGTGTTATCACCAATCGATCAGAAATATTTCGGCGCAACTGTTAAATTTAAGACTTTATCGTTTTTAAAAATGTCACTATTGAAAATTGCACGAATGTGCAACTGTTGCTATGATAGTTAAAATTATCACCGATTGCCTGCAAAAAGCTATTTCCCTAACACAGATTTCAAAGTTCAATTCCATCCGGTCTCACCAAACGGTGTTTATTCAATCATCACGTGGTGAGTGGTGGTGTTCTCCAGTACACAGTACAAAAACACCGTCCTCTGATCGAATGAAACCTCAGACCATTCAAATCGAAACATCGAAATTGCCTTTTCGAATGATAGCTGCAACCGGATGACGGTTGTTTTGAAATCAGATGATTTTCCTCTCGAATACAGGATGAATATTGTTATGAAAAGGGATAGGGCCTTCAGTTGGAATGCGTCATGCTCTCTGCAGAATTATTGCCTCAAAGCAGACAAACGAGGTGGAAGCATAGCCATCGCTATCAGAGGTGGTACGAACATTGGTTAAGCGTGGAAACCGTAGATTTTATATTTCGTGGTGGAGAAAGTTTCCTCTACTAACAGGTAGATGTTGGATCCATGATGAATGACTGTTCATGGCTATTCAATATGGAAATGTAAACAATCGATTTAATAATCTAATCTAAAGCATTTGCAAGTCATCTTATACTTAAATTGTTGTCCTCGGAGCCCTGTATGTTTTACAGCCAATTTTCAAATAAATATCATTCTGTATTAGGAGAACAGTCATGTGGATGCTCATCAGTTGACGACAAATGCAACCATGAGCGAATCATCCGAATTTCGACAGCATATTCTAAAAGGGCTCGAGCAATACAATAATCAGTCGAAGTATTGTGGATGTTTTCGTTCAGTGTACACAACGAAAGGTTGCTTGCAAGCATCCATAGAAGGAGGAAGAAGCCGCACCGCTATTGATCGGAATCAGTAGCTCTTCGTGATTCATTATGGCCCATCTATGTCAAGCGTGTCATACTGAAGAGTATTAACAGAGAGAACCCCGCTTAAATACCTATGCCTACACAAAACACAAGCTCCAGCTGCAGTTAACAAATAATATTACAGCTGTACCTTGTAGTTTCAAAATGGCCGAATTTGAGCTCAAATGTAAACGATTGAACATAATAGATGCAAAATTCTATGCAAATTGGAGAAGGTCACGTCGGATAGCAAAATTGATATTAGGGAAACGAAGCGCAAAGAAAAATTCCCAATTATTCACTGCGGAGGCTCCACCGAACGAGCCAGTCTCGTCGCCGCAGTTAACCTCAAAGAAGGACGAAGTAAGCGGGTACAGAATGTTGTTTTTTTTTGGCAAATAAAGTCACTCAAAGTACCACCAGTTCGACCCGTATGGGCGCTTTTTCCGATAGGTATATGCACAAGCACGCCCTTCGCATAGTGCAATTTACGACTGAATGCTCTACCCCCTCGAGGGCAAGGCAAAAACCCACGTCTCGCACACGCAAAGATAGTTAATCTAAGTCTACAATTAGCCGTGTAATTATACCTCTACGTACGAGTCTGTGGTAGAGTGTGGCATCATTCACCACGACCCTTGAAGCGGTCTTCTCATTAAGATCTACATGCCAAGCGATATTCTAGACCTTTTATGATCGTTCCTAACCTCCTCTAGAACATAAAATCATAAAAGGGCTATTTAACTTGCTCCATCCCTGCAAACATGCACACTGTCGGTCGGAGGTGATCAGAGATGATGAATGCACCGTTGATTGTAGGTTTTGTATGCATAGTTCTTTCTGGACACTGAGAGAAATGAGATGCTCCACTATATCTGCTCTGCTGTCATACTAATGAGCAGAAGGCCTCCGGTATGCAAATTTGTGTAACCGTGATTCGCCATAACAAACAAGTGACGAACCGGTTATATAACAGAGACTGCGCGTCCAGCGTCGTCGAATTCCATTGATTAATGCCTTCTTCAGGGGCCGGATATTGACTTGTCAACTGTCGGCTCGACACGCGCTGCAAGAATTCAACACTCACTGATGGCTGCCTGGACTGGAAGGGGTGTGGACAGTATTCACAGTTTTGCAGTTTCAACTTTTCGGTACAAGCCTCTTTTTGATTGATTGATTGCTGTGCTGATGTGGCCTGCGGTACGGGGATCGGGGAACGGACGGCCGTCAAATCGCGACAACCACAAAACAGACAGCGTGACGTTGGATTTTTCTTAGAGGTCGAGGGGGCTTATTGAACACATTTTTTTTTCTGTGTTACTTGGTGGGCCAGGGTTTTTGGCGCGCAGAGCATACTTCGATTGATTTCAAGTAACGACAATCGAAGCAGGCTTGGAGTTTTGAATCGTTGGTTGCCTTGAAAGGGATGTGTATTTGCTTAAAAATAGACATGACTCAGGGTTCGCGCGGCCAGGATTATCGGTTTGCGAGAAAAATTATGATAATCATTGCGGGGAATCTTCCTCTGCCTGGTTGTTGTTTACTCAGGTACAAGTGATCACGCGCAAATTTACAAGTGTTTTTTTTTATCGCTCTGCTGTTGTTGAACAAGGAACCTGTTCCCGACGGTGATCTCATCTTGAATCAGGGAATGCTAATTTAATAAAGGTTTTTTTTCTACGTTTAACATGAGCCCCGGCCAAGAAAAAAACATCGAATGCTGATGGATGACTTCGGGATGATTAGCAAAATTAACATTCTTCAATGATTTTATGAATTTTGATGGTCATCTTTTAGAATCGTGGTTCGGATGAGCTGAACTTCCCGAATAAAAATGTACACATTATGAAATCTTAGTGTATCTGGTACATAATGAGATATCAAATAGCCCACTTCCGACAAGTTCGGCAAAACTTACCCCTCGCTCTGGTAGATCTCCATCGATGAGTTCAGCTCGGACAGCTGCTCCTTGAGCAGCTGGAGGTTCGAATTGACGAAACTGAGCTCCAGTGCGACCGTATCCTTCAGCTTCTTGTTGGTGGTAGCTTTGAACAGGTTCTCGGCACCGGCCCGCAACCTTAGCTCTTTGTTGATTTCCTGGTTCAGCTTACATCGTCGACTCTGGAGCTTTCCCCGACAGGTTGCCGCCCTCGGATCGGAACCCTGCAAATGCGCAACGAGAAGAAAAAAAAATAGGTTAGTAAAATGTATGTCACCGTCACATTTTCGCCAAGAGTGATAAACTTGCAGGGTCATAAAATTGGCCAATCCTAGCTTTCAAACGTGTCACATGTTTCACCATACGCTTCTCCATCAGTGATCATAGCAAGCGCAGTTTATTGATTCAAACTCAGCATAAACATGTCAATCTTCATTCGCCGTCGTCAACCGATCAGATCAAAACGAGGAAAAAATGGACTGGCTCTCCTTGACGGTCGGTCGGTCGGTGGTGGACTTGGGCACACCGTGAACGACATTCTTTTCTGCCTTTTCCAGATCCAGAAGTACCGATCAACAACCAACCAGTAGCAGCAGAATCAATAATAACGAGTGTCGATTCTCTCGGTGGGTAATAACAGTAAGCACTGATCGACTTGTGTTTTTTTTTTCGTTCATGTGTATCCATAGCAACATTCCTTCACGTGTTTTGACAAATGGCGACCAGTCGCACAGAGTAGACTTTGTTTGGCAGCTGGAGCACGTATGACAGGAGAAAAAATGAGGGGTGCTATGGCAACGAATACCAAATCGACGAGGTTACATGATCGCTTATCGTAAAACTAGGAAAAAATTGTGTATCTGGTTTTACACAATTTCGCACTAAAACTCTCCCTTGATTGGATGTTTTACACTTTTTACAAAAAATAATAATACCTAACTAAATAAGAAGAGGAGCAGCATTGGCTTATCACTTTACTTGTTCAAGTAATGACAGCAACAAATAAAACCGAACCGCCTTGAATTTTGCACGCGGCGGCTGGCTCCGGCTGACAATCAATAAGAGAGCTCATGAAGCGCAAATAGCGCCCAATAAAACCGAAATTGATTTTAATCTCCTTTCGTTTTCTTTCGCCAACGTGCATTTCGAAAATCGCGAATCATAAACGCGGATACGTAATTGGCGCAGATTGGATGAAAGTGCATTTCGATAATAGCGAGTTAAGCAGTGAATGAGTGAAAGTCGCCGCCCTCTACTGCCGGGAAATTTTGCACGCCGATCAAGAACGCTCCCAATTGATTGCTGTATGGGGTTTTTAAACTTTTCAGGTGTTGTTTTAGCCTGAAAATTTTACTAGCTTATTGGTTTCTGCTGAAAATTGCAAGCTATTACTACTACGCAACTATTTTTGCGTGTGGATGATCCATAATTCACTTCAAATAATTTATAAGATAATACAGTGTCTTCCCGTTTTAACAACACAACCTCATCAGCTATGTCAAACTATGCTGGGATTGGGAGGGACCATCAGTGCACCCGATTGAAGCGATTTGAACGGGGAGAGTGCGAATGCCAATTCCCTGTTTATAACATTTCGTGGATAAAGGGCGGGTTCTTTTACCCACTCATTGGGGCATCTTCCTGTTTGGGGGCTCGTCTTTTTGACCAATTGGCTGATCAAGTTGCTGGAAGGAGATTCTTTATTGTTCCGTATATGCGTATAGGCGAATTTGCCTATCGATCTACCAAATCCGTTTTTGGCTCTTCATACAGCGACATGTCGAGGACAATCAGAGGTTATTAAGCTTGATCAAGACAAACAGAGAAGAGAACCCACTGCTATCGGACTTAGTTTCCGTGCTACAATGGGTGGTTGACCACACAACCTCATCAGCTATTTCTTTCCACAAATTCAGAGTGGCAACTGAATTTTCATTTTGGAATTCCTGGTTTTTCCCAGCTTTCCTGGTGAATAGTTCAAAAACTTCCTGGTTTAAAAAAAAAACATGTTTGTAGCTAACAATTCTATATTTGTTTTAAGTAAACAATTTGATTGCAAATTTAGCTGAATTTCCGCAAATTGTTTTGATTAGAAATTCAAATCGGTTTACCTAATAAAAATAAAAAAAATTGTACGATTTAAATCCCAACAGAATTTTGAAATCTGATTAATTTTTCATAAGATTTGAAATCAACACTAGTCCAAAAAGCTTTTCAAATCACTACCCCGATAAACTTCGTTAAATGTTGATGATTCTTTAAAAATTATTAAAAGATACTAAAATCTAGTTCTTGCAAACCAATTTTGCAGATTTAAATATTAGGTATTTTGCACCAAAGTGGACCAACTAGAATCCCCAGATTCCACTCGCACAGGCCTGAAAAAATAAGAATTGATCATTTTGAATGTAAAGAAGCGCAGCATTTTACAATAGAAAACCATATGGAACTTTGAAAAATATCAACCCCTAGCACAGGAATCCACTTTGATCTACTTTAGGATGAGAAAGTATTGGGAATTTCACATATTTTAACCTTTTATTGGATGCTAAAAGAACGAGTGAGTGTTGATTGTACCAAGCAGATATCTGCTAATAGACTCGGAACTGACAGCAGCAGTAGAACGAAACAGGCGAGAAACTGAAAGAATTTGAAAAACGTTCTCACCGGCTGAACAATAAGATCTCAAATCAGTGAGTGAGTCGTTTTTGGCTCAGATCTGATCTACTAAAACAGCAATTATATCTATACCAACAACAGTATCACACTTATGTTTTGAACATTTTTTTCGTTGAGTTGTTTTCCGCCGGTCTTGTTTTCCGTACTTAGTACCAATGCTACCGACGCCAGGGAGGCAGCTCCCACACCTGGACCCTACCTATCGACCCATCAACTCATGAACCGGGGACCTACGGCTTTACTTCCCTTCCGAAGGACGTGATCAGAGATTTTATGCCTCAGAAAATCCCGGCGGCGCCGACTGGGATTGAATCCAGGCCTTTTGGGATGAGAGGCAATCACGCTTACCAATACACCACCGGCGCCGCTAGATACGTTTCTATCTTCTATATTTTATGAGTTATTCATAGATTGACCCAAAAATAGCACTTTGTTTTTCAAGACCAACAACTCGAAGTCATGCAAAATTGGACAAACCAAACTAATTGCATTTGAAAGAAGAACTGAAGCGGATCCAAATTCATATAAAATCGCACATGACTAAAAGCCACCCATATTGGAGACTTAGATTGGACAAACAAAACAAAACAATTTTTTTTGAAGACCACGTATGGATTCGATATGAGTCCACGGCAAAAAATCCGATCTCCGAAATGAGAAAAATGACTCATGATTTTATGAACACAGCGTATTATGAAAATACACCATAAATAATATTCATAATATCATGAGCAACTTTTGCGTACCGCAGCAAACATTCCCAAAATCATGAACCATCCGAGTTGAAATCATGGGTTTTACTTTTAACCAAAAATGTAAAAAGAATAAAATAAAGCGTCAGACTGGATTCGAACCAAGAACCTTGAGATCATTAAACCCATACATTGACCACTAGACTATCATTACTTATATATGATGGAAGACAAAAGGCGTATAACAGATACCACAGTGCGGTTTATGAACACGGTTTGCCAAGTATGTGTAACGCTTGTAGCGGTCTTGATTCTACTACATTATGATATCATGAATTTACATGACGAAATCATGAATCATTGTTACGATTTCATGGGATGGCAATTTTTTTCATTCATCAAAATGAAATCGGATTTGTTTCCGTGTGAGTTAATTATTTAATGTGCAGCATTTAGTGACTTCTAAAGTCGCAAGATCGCTGGTGTCATATACGCCTGTAGGTATAGGAAAAGCATTTGGCCCAAATGGTTAATAAATTTTAAGCAGAAGTCACATCGATTTGCGGTCTTCTATAAAGTATTTCCTTATGATTTGTCCACCTACAGGCATATATAATTATAATACAATTTTCTTATAGTTTTGCAATAAGCATATCGGTGAATTGAATGAGATGAAGCTTTAAAAAATATATATCTACACAGCCATTCCATAGCAAAACGATATAGTGGTTCTCAGAATTTCGTAAAAAATGATAGTTTTGTTCCTTATCGCAAAATATAAGACTTGTATTTTTTTATTTTTCCATTCGTGTGAACACTTCCATGGTAGGGTAGTCCCAAGGAGTAAGTCACTCAGCACATTGTGCCGCAATTAGATTTGGCACATCTTGGGCACATCCATCGGCACAATCTCGTAGGCATTTGATTGTTGTAAATGAAATGGGAGCACTGCTCTGGTCACTGAAGTTGTTCACAACATTACGTGCTGTTTGGCTGTATATTCAGGAACATCCTCTAATTAAATATACCAGAGCAACTCAGACAAGCAGTTCACTTCTCGGTTCACTTATAGATTTAAATCCGAAATGCACCTAGACCGATTTATACTTGCGATTTCAAACCAAACCATTCAAGGTGTCAGAAATACCGGGTTGCATGAATGGGTATTTTACCGGCACAATCGGCACACTGAAAAAAAAGATGACCTAAGATTGGTGGGCGGAGTGACCTACCCTTTGGGTAGTCCAAAAAATAATTTCAAAAATTGACTTTTTTCAAAGATCAAAATATCAAATGAAAGGTAATTAAAAAATGTAATGATTTTGTATCGAAAACATTGGTTGTATTTGTTTTTTATGGTTTTCATGGTGTGTAGACAGAGGACGCAATAAGTTTTAATATCTTTCCTTGAAAATTTAGGATTTATTACACAGCACGACAAAAAATCAGCGATGTTTTTTTTTTCGTTTTGAGTTATATATTTTTTAAGGTATCAAGTTCTGGGTCTTCCCTCAATATTCCTATGCGAATAGACTAGCTTGCATCTTCATTGATTTATAGCGATTGTAACATGGTCACTAGACTGATGCAAAATTTGAAATTTTCGCTCCACAGTGCTCAAACGGTTCCAAATTGGGCCCTCATTAGCTTCCCAAAATTTGAACTCATTCAGTGAAAAACTGACTTGGCACAAACCATTTGAAGTTTATATGGGAATTACTATGAAGAAACCATAATTTGCGGTTCATATCTATCTCAAAATTCACCAGTTCACTCTACTTTGGAAAATGATAGCTGGGCTTGTTGAAAATTTTCTTAGCTACAACTTTTCGATCAAATGTAAGGAACAAAAA